ACTTTTTTTTTAAGAATGTGAGGACCTGCTTTGATTGCCACCCTCTCAGTGTGAAGCAGTGGTAGAGACTGTAACTTGACCTTGGCTCTTAATGGCTGTGCGACAATGGTGCCCCGTCCCACTGGCCTGTCTGCCCCTTTGTTGTGTCTATTTATATTGTTCAGACACAGTGCAGAGGTTATTCAGAGGTGCCAGTGAACAAAGGAACAAAGGGTGAGAAATATTTCTCTTATTGTCTCCACTCTTATTGCTTTTTTCAAAGAAAAACTTTGAGATTTGTGGTTTTCATATTTTTTTCTTTTTAACCTGAACATATAATTCAACTTATCAGCTGTGAATTTCAGTTTTTTGGTCAGCATGTGACTGTAAACATGTTTCTGGTTTGACTTGTTCTTAGATGATCACACTGCTGTGTTCTTAAGCCAAAATGGTATGTAAAGTAATTTTCACTTTTTAAAACTATCAGAAATTTTTAAGTCTTACTCTACTTGAAACTGTTACTACTGTTACTACCTTCTGTGCTGGGTTATCTCTCTCATTAGGTAAAAAGCATGAAGATGCCAGTGGGCTATCATAAGCATTGTGACAAGTGTTACAATGTCCACTGTCAAGTCCCTGCGCAGACCTCTGTTTCATGTATAGTCGTGAAATGTCACAAAAACTGTGGTGCAAGCCTCCACATGTGCAAGCAAGAAGAGCACCAGCTTCTCTGTCCAAATGAGATAGTCCCTTGCCTTAATGTTTATTATGGCTGTCCTCTCACCATGCTGCGCCACAGGCTGGCCAAACACTTAGAGGTCTGTCCTGCCAGCTTGGTCTGTTGCTCTCAGGAGTGGAACCGCTGGCCTATTTCAGAAACTGACCTGACCTTTTATAGAAATGTTTCTGAAAACCCTGTGGTAAACACTGAGGAAAATCTTGATGTTGCTATGGCTCATAGGGACCAAGAGCAGCTGTTTCAATCAATCAAAATGAAGAACATTTTTCCTGAGTTGATATTGGAGGATTCTGCCGTGCAAAACATTGCTGCTGGAATCAACAGTCCTGCAGATAATGCTTGCTGTTCTGTAGACAGTGGTGAATATACAGAAAATGGCAGTGCAAAGTTGGACGAAGAACTGAGTCAAGAGGAGAGAGATACTTTGGCAAAGTGCACAGATGTGACAAGTATTCAAAATTATAGCTCCTGGGAGAAAATATTCAATAAGGAGAAGGAGGGATGCAAGCAAACCATCAAAAACCTGAATAAGGGAGAAAAAGGAAAAGAAAAGGAAGACCAAGAATCATCAACAAGTCAGAAAGAATTACACCAGGGTGGAGAATGTCCTGTAACTGCCAGAACCATGGACGGTGCCACTGGCCTTGCACCATGGCAAGATGGGGTCCTTGAGCGTTTAGGCAAAGAAGTCAACATTGCAGAATATAATATGTATCTGGTGCACAATGGGGTAATGCTGATTAACTTTGGGCAACTTGCTGCTTGCACACCAAGAGAAAAGGATTTTGTCTATGGGAGTCTGGAGCCCATTGAGGTGAAAAGCGTCCGAACATTTAATGTGCCTACCAGCTATCGAGCAAAGCGCAATCACTTGAAAGACCCCTCGCGCAAGGCCCAAACCACACACCAGAGTGTTGACACTTCAGATCTGGGCATTTCAATTGAGGATCTTCCAAAGTGTGAAGAGGTTAGCACAACACTTCTGTGCTCCCTGGAAAAAGAACTGAAGGGACATTCGATCTCAGAGAGTGTGTCGACAGATGGTCTTTACACAGATATAGGAACACAAACGTACATCTTTTCTTCTGCACCCTTCAAGCAAGATGCTTCCTTAGCTGATGTCATAGCAGGTAAACCTTGTCGTCTTTATTTATACATCGAAGCAGAATCTGTCACTAGAAGACACAACAAAACAAGTTCAGCCTTCAGCTACATGTGTGGCCACTACTTTCGCCGTGATGAATACTGCTTTCACTTCAAGAATGTGCATTCTGACATACAAGCCTCTCTAAATGGCTGGTTTCAGCAGCGTTGCCCTTTAGCATACCTTGGTTGTACTTTCACCCAGATGAGGTTTCACCCAACAGGTCAGGAAGCAATAGTTAAGTTCTCCAAAGATGGCAGCACTCTGGTACTCCAACCAAAAGCCAATTCATCACTCTGTGCAGGTGGGAAAACCTTCAGTCCTAAAAGGAATGATGCACAAAATCTGGATCCCCTAAGCAGCCTTCCTTTGGAGATCATTCAGCATATTGCTGGTTACCTTGACAGTTTTACATTGTCTCAGTTGTCCCAAGTCTCCCATCTATTGAGAGAGGTGTGTGCCACATTGCTGCAGGAGAGAGGGATGGTCTCCCTCAAGTGGGAGAAAAAGAAACACTCCAGTGAAGGAAGTTCCTGGATTTGCCAAAAGAAAGCAAGTAATCTTATTTATCTAGATATATTGGTTTTCTTTTGCAAATGTGTTTTTTTTTGTTTTTGTTATAGTCACTTTATATTCCCTGACCTGTAAATTTGATTGCATTCACAGATAAGTGTGTGCACCATATTGTTTTACCATTTCTATTTATTTACATCATGTCAAACTTCTCTATCAGTTTCCCTTTAGTACCTGGCATCATTCTATTAACTTTCACTGGAAAATCTGAGTCATTCATACAGTATGACAGCAGCTGCGCTGTAAACACTCCTGACTCTCAATAGTCCTCTCTAACAATATTACAAACTGAGCCGCAGTTGTGTTGGCAACAGTTATTGAGTTCCCACTGAATCAGACCCTGGAGATTTACTGCCTTTGTCTGTGTCCTTGCAAAATATCAGCTTCTTCTAAGGTCAGGAACCACAAGGAAATGAAATTTAGTTTTCTTTCCTGACGTTGGTGTCCAAGCAATGGTTTGCTAATTAACAGCAACAGAAGAAACAAACAAAAAAAAAATATAGCACTACATAGCATATAAAGAAAAATAAGGCGATTGTAATTGGGCATTATTAGAGGTTCACCTACGACAACTAGAATTGAACCCTGGTTAAAGTCACACAGTTAGCTAGCTTGGTGGCTCAGGCCACTACCCCACAAGGATGCCTGTTGGTCCTGGAGCCGGAAATTAACTAAATCCTCTCTGGAATTATTAGAACTGAGTAAAGGGTTCACATTTTAAGTGGTTCAGATTTATGAATACTGAGCTGTGGAAATTTAAATGCATGTTTCATTAAAGTACCATCTCTTCAGGACAAACGTTGAGCTGTGCAGAACTTTTGCAGGCTCTGTAGATGCCTGCTTATCATTATTATTAAAGAATTTTAGTAGTTTACAGAAATACCTGAATTTGGCAGCTAGGGAGTTATAACAAAATGAAATAATTAAAATCTTTTGACTGAGAACACAACTATAATGTCCCAGATTTTTTGAAGATCAAATTAAATATGCTGGTAAAAAAAAATTACTTGTTGTTGGTGAGCAGCGAAAATGAAGGTGGGATAGATAAGACATCTATTTTTCAGTTGCAATTTGGTTGTACTTGCTTTCATAATTTTTTAGCTACACTAAGTAGTTTTCCTGCTAACAAACGTGTGATCAAAGCCCCCCTGCTGGAGGTAATGAAGCAAAAAACACTATCAATGCACGTGTGTATATTTTTGCATTGACTATCTCTGTACTGCAGTGATCATGAGACAAAGAGCATGCCGATGACATCAGTGATGTGGAATGGCCTGAGGCTTTGCTGCCAGTAAACAGAGTGCTACCATAACAAGTCAGATATGTGATCATTCATGGAAACATAGGATGTTAATAAGACTGTGTAGGCAACAGCTGGGTATTTGCTCTCAGATGAATTGCATAATTTGTATACATTTGTCACGGATCAAAACAGAAATAACACCATGCCCTAACATGTGATAAAAGTATTATGCGATCTAGATTCCATGGTATTTAAAAATACATTCCTCCTCATCGCAGTATACTGTAGCTGCAAAACAGTTGATAGATGCCATGACAGCCTCCCACACCTCCTTCAATTCTGCCTCTGTGTTTTACAGGTTTGGAAATTCAGCTCTCAGTTTTCCTCTGTGGACAGATGGAGCTTCAGCGATACTCCTTCCATGTCAAATCACCTGGGAACCTGCTCCTTCTACCAGAGAGAAGATCGCACTGAGCCGGTGGCTTTACCCTGCCTGGGAGAGGTCAGAGACAAACATGGGAAACTAAAGCATAAAAGATAACGCTCACGTTTCAGAGCACAGCGGGCAGACCACAACACGAGTTATGCCTTGTTTGAAATCACTGAGACGTAACATGTATGCACTCATCTGAAAAGTGGAAAAAGCCTCCGCATGTAGAGCTGCTGTATAAAAACAGAGCTGCAGTGTGTTAAAGCCCTGCAGAAAGACAATCTGTCGTATATTAGAAATAAGAATCATTTAGTGTAACAGGATATCTTGGTGATGTAATCATCTTTTTTTTTAAAGCATTTACTCAGATCATTTTTCTCGTTGGTGTGCAAAATTCTCTGAGATGGATCTTGTCATGCAGTGTAGTGTGGAGAGAAACGTGAATGCTAAAAGTCTTTTTTGCATTTCGAATTTTCGCATTTGGGCATGTTTTGCCTGGGGAACATCCTCTTGATATTAGATGAACCATTTGGCATGACTGAGATGACAAGTGCTGTTTGTTCCAGCATATTTCATTCTTATGGTGAAAGGCAATGTTTGAAAGAAAAATCAAGGAAGGGGAAACGCTGATGACTGTTTCAGTATGACAAGACTGACATCTAGTGGATAAAAACTTAAGTATCCCATCTGTATCAAATGGTGTGGTTTGGCATTTTAATGCTGGAGATTACATCACATGCTGCATGTGTCATATTTAATAAAACACAGCAGTGCTTGCTTTGTGATGAGAACAACTCAGTTTGAAATAAGTGTGATCTGCATATGTGAATAAATGTGATTTTTAGCTGGATTCGTGACTTTTTTTAAAGCAGCACAATGAACAGAATTTAAAGAACATCATAAAAAGGTTAATTTATTGATTTCAGACTTTCAGAGAAGACGAACACCTAATGTTTTACATCACTGCATGTCAGATGTTTCAGGGTTGCGCATTTTGTTGATCACCTCTGACAGCATTTTGTTACACAGGGCAGCATATGGATTAAGGACCACAGCCTGTTGTCGAGCAAATTCACTTCCAAGTGCAGCTGCTTTTTCAAAATCTGCTCTGGCTTCATCATTCTGCCGTGCTAGTCTATGTAAAAGGCCTCGTTGCACCAGCGCCTGGCAGGCAGTACGCCCAGTGCTGCCGCTCAGAGCAATCGCTTGGTCCAGATCCCCCAGGGCTCCTGCAAAGAGAACAGCACCGTGAACCAAACACATGTCTGGAAAGTTGATTTTTTTTTTTAGGCCATGATGTTCTAAGATACTCGGCTTTGGCTTTGGGTCAGGCTACTGAAAAATTCATTCTGATAAACACAGCTGAAATGTGCTTGAACTACTTTTCTCTCAAGTACTGTGGAAATCAAATAATGAGGAAAAAACAAAAAGTCATTCTCAAGTAAACTGCTCATAACCGAGCATTATCCATTCAAAAGCTTTATATGTATTAGTAATATCCTTGTTCTACTGGTTCAACAACACATAACAATGACTTTCAGATGAATAGACTTTCTTTTAGAAATCTGCAGTTGCTAGTGACATGCTAGTCATTAGTGAGTCAAGGACTGTTGTTTTTGCCTACAAACCTGCCCTTCTTATGTCAGGCAGCAGGTAAAAGCAACCAAACACCACACTATCTCAGAGCACCATCGCTGTTGACAAAGTGCATCAGCTAGACAAAGCTCCGGTATTCACGCTGGCCTTAGACTCGGCAGTCTGATAAGTTGGCACACCATGGCATCTCTGGAAAGGGTTATTATTGAATTTGTTGCACATACCTGCTGTGTCCCCCTTCAGTCGCAGGGCCTGTGCCCGGTTGTTATAGGCAGAGGCTCGCTGAGGAAGAATCTGGATTGCCTGGCTGAACAGCTGAAGCGCAGTTTGTAAATCCCCAGTCTCTGCTGCTGAGACACCCCGCATCTCCAGCTCTTTCACTTGCTTCAGCAACTCTCTGTCAAAGCCACTGTCTGGCAGGAGGAGATAAACAGGTTGAAAAAGGACTCAAACTCAATTGACAGGTACCGTGGAAAGGAAAACAGAGAAATGTCACTCGGAAATCAGTTTGGATTACAATGTCATGTTTTTCGCAGCCCAGAAATGGAATGTGTTCAAATAAATTCAATATACTGTGACATGATATGTTGAGACACACCAGAAGCTCATGCTCACCATCATCAATTAATTCCTCCTCTTGGTTTAGGCCGGGAATGTCTCCAAAGGGGGTGGTGGGGTTGAATATAGCCTGCAGTACAGCTCTGTCATGTGCCGAGGCCATCTTACTGTCTTACTGGTGTCTGCAAAACAAGGAGAGAAAGACAGGAAGAAAAAATCATTCCACCAAAATTACAGCAGGACAGAGATTTCTTCCTCCCCTAACTTTTGCCATTTCTATTAGCCAATCAGAGAAGGGGGCGGAAGCAGAGGTGGACTTTGAGATTTTCTGGCACTAAATACATCTGTATCCTGTTAACTAAGAAATGCAGGCCAGTAAAAACTGCATACCGCACAGCACAGACATAAGTACACCAGAATAAACTGGAGGTCTGTAAACATTGGAAAAACTCTTATTCTTCACTTTTATTGCATTTCTGATATTATCAAGATTCATTTTTATCATGATTGTATGTGTTTGCTTTATATCATGACACGTTCACATATGTTTAGTGTCTCTTTCAACCCCTCTGTAAAACACTCTTGCTATGTTTGAATAGTATTATATAAATACTGTTGGCCTGGCTTCATTTGACTCTTGTTGTTTTGGTAGAAGGAGACAGAATAACCTTAGAAATGTTTCATATGATAGTTTGTGTTTGCTTGTTTGATTTATCCATAAGCATACTCTATCCATGGTGGGTCATTTTATTAACCACTGTTACACCCCAGCCTAGGCAACCGGGGTGCAACGTAGAAAAACAGAAATAAGGAAAATAAAACCACGAAGGCTCTCCACCAAAATCCCAAAACGAAAATATCCCATAACGAAAGCATTGACAAACCCATTCACAACTATTTACAACAAACTATTTATTTACAACACGGGGGGGGGATCACGACCATGACATATGGAAAAAACACAAGGCTTAAATACATAGAAGGAGCAATCAGGGAATGGACCACAGGAGGGAAACACAGCTGGGGCAAATTTAGACCTGACGAGACAAGGAAAAGTAATCTGAACACACTAAGATAACACAGACTTTCAAAGTAAAACAGGAAATACATGACAGTCACGCAAAAAACAAAACACTGACAACACCTAAACGTAACACCACACAAACTGTTGCCATGAGTGGCAAAGTGGCTACTTTATAAGACCGTAGGTGTACCCAATAAAGTGGCCACAGGTGAATGCACACAGTGCGCCAAATTAAGTGACCAGGATTTACTTAATAAAGTGGCTGGCCATAGGACTTTATCATAAAATAATAACCATTACAACAAATAATGGGTGCTTTTATTTTCCTTTGGTTTGCTAAATTTTTGAACAATTTATCACCCCAAAATTTACTGTTCATTTTATTCAATTTATTAAATTTTTCCAGGAAAATCAAATCCCACTGATGATTTGATTTTAGTCTCAAAAACACAGAAAAAAAAACCTCATGTAAAAAACATGAGACCCTTGCATAGACACATTTGGGTGTTTGTGGATTTTGTGCAAGAGGTTGTTTCTCAGAAAGCTCTAGTAAGTTGTTTGTGGTACTAAAAACACAGGAAGGAAGGAAGATGATGCCGCATCCACACAGATCAGAAGCTATAGTTGCCTATCATCCCTACTGCTTGCAGATGTTCCTCCACTTAGCAATATCTGCACCAAAGTATATATACACATTGATCAACTTGCGTATTTGAAAACTGAGAACCATCAGTAAAAATTTCTATGATGGTTCTGTTCATCACTCTCCTTGTGCTCTCTACAGGTAACTGAGCTCTTATACCTCTAAAGAAAAATGTTGCTTTATTGTATGTGATTATTAATATCATTGCTGCTCCTTTGTGCTGCTTTTATCATAGAATTTATGCTTTATTTTAGTACTTCTCTTAGTATATCTCAAATTACTGCGTAGAGAAATAAAACAATTGCATAATAACTCATTTTTGATGTAAAGAAGCTATGTAAAGGTTTGCATTTAGTGCAATTTCAACAAGTTCCAATACATGTTTGTGGTGAGTGTGACTCAAGAAGTACAGTGGGTTGTCTGTTAATCATACGGTTGGTGTTTTGGTCCCGTCTCTTCCAGTTTGCACATTGCAAACTGATAATATACCCCGAATAGCCCCTGATGCATTTATGCTAGTCTATACATGTTAAACAAGATGCTTAGGCATAGAATTGAAGCACTCTATGAATGTGTAGATGATAAGGTAAAAAGAACTCTCAGTGTTCAATTAGAGTAACAAAAGCACTATATACGTACCAATCCAGTCTAGGTGCTTGGTAAAGTTGCTGTAAAGTGGTACAACTGAAAGTTTCCCAGAACCTTCAGTTGTAGTACAGGCTGGTACCACAGTAATGATCCTTTAACCACATGTACCCACATTGGGGCACACAAGTTTTACCACAGTTCTGACCTTCTCAACATTTATAATTGTCATCAAAAGGCTTTCAGAAATACTAAATTGAGCATGTGTAGATATCCAAATAAAGCTCTGCTAATCTATGGTACTTAATGTACTGGCACAACAGCAGTGTGGGCCAATGACACAGAGTTTGGAGTTTTGGTTGGTTTATAATTTCTTTTAGTTTTGAAAGTGGATTATATTTGTCGGGGGTTTTTTTAAATAGTTTTTTGTGTTTCCTTGTGTTCATGAATTTCATTACCACTTTGATTGATCATATGTTTTCCTGTTGTTTTATTATTTGCACCTCTACTCTTCAGGTTTGTTAGTCTCTCTTTCCTTCCTGTCTCCTCTGTCTTCTCTTGTGTTCAGTCCTCGTCTCTGTGTTAGTGACTTCTTGTTTTATTTTTCTGTTAGTGGTTCCATGTGTTTAGTGCAGGGGTAGGCAACCTTTCTGATGGCCATTTAAAATTTCCTCAGAAGTCACACACAATATAAAGAACCACTTTATAGAATTAGATTTGTTTGCAGATGTTGGCAGCTATCAGCGAATAGTTATCAGCTATTTGAAACAAATCCATAACAAGAACTCCATAACAGCAAATGAACTGTACAACAGAAAATACAAATGCTATTTATGGTCTCCTCACAACAATGATAAGAAAAATAAACTAAGCCAATATGGCATGTCTGTTAATACAGAGACACACATGTTAATCTGATATCTGGTCTCCCACTCAGAGACACAGGTCTCCGAGTGTCCAGCATTCAGACAGCTACCTGAGGACACTCATGTGAGAAAAAATCTGCTCACACAGACATGTAGAGCCAAATACTGTCAATAAGGCCTCTGCAATGTTCTGAAGACAGTTAAACTTGTCAGGTAGTGATGTCCAGCAGGTGAAAATGCAAGCTCCATGAACACGCACAGCTATGGATTCCAGCTGCCTTAATGTTGCATTAACTGGCATTAACTCAGTCAGTTAATGTGAGTCAAATCTAGCTGCTCATTAAAGATTTCTGGTTTGATCAGAAAATAAAACATTGGTCCATACGCCTGAAAGTCACAAAAATGCATTGTGTCTCGAGTCTACGGATTTATCCATATATTTCCGTGGTGCTGATGCTGTGCTTAGCGGAAAGCTAACAACGTCCCAAGTTATTTTTAGCCAATTACAAGTTGAATCTAGTAGTTGGGTTTGTTAGCTAAGATACTGTCATTAAGAAGCGGTACAACTAATGTGTCTATGCGAGCTGATTTGCGATGTGCATCGCTGGCGCGGCCATTTATATTTTTAATGCACCTTCTCAGATTAATTCACTGCGTGTCGTGCCCAGGCCTGGACTGAGACAAAAAATCGGCCCGGGCATTTAGACTAGAGACCGGCCCCCCAGGTATTAAAGCCATTAAATGAAAACAAATGCTGTTGTGACAGTGATGTACAATCTTGTTGGTATATGTATGATTGATATACATTTTATGTCTGATAAAAACTTTGGTTGTAAGCTTCAGATAATTATTTAATAACAGCCAGACATTTTAAATTTGAATAAGAAAGTATTTCTTAGTGCCCCCTTTCCCTGTTAATGCCCTACCCGCCCCTGCACAGTTACCAGCTGTCAGCTACGTAGAAAAGGATCTTGGTGTTATTTGTCTCTCAGAAACAGTTCATAACTTCCCTTCAACTCATTCATGTCACCTAAAAGGTAAACTTGTTTCTCCATCACCTGTTCAGCTCTGATGATTCAGTAAGGACATCTCCTGGTTACATCTTCATGTTTCCCTCTCACCAGATATACAAACCGATATCATGACCAGCAGCTTTTACAGCTGTGGCTCCAGCAAACATCAGCTGATACTAGAAATTAATATTAAATAAATTCTAACAACAGCCGATCAAGCTTAAACATGCTGCTGTTTTTTAGCGCGACATCCGGCGGTTTCCTCTTTGTGGCGCAAAGTGGGCGATAAACAAACGAGAAAGAAAAGCCGATCAGCTGATCATTGATCAGTTTCATGATTAAAGTAACAAAAGGAGAGAGAGGGGAGAGAATGAAGAAGAGGCAGCTATGCAGCCTAACCACAGAATAAATCCACATTTGTGTCTCAAACTGCGTCCCTTCTCAGCTCAACACGAAACGTGTAATAATTTCTCTGAATGCGGGATGATTCCGTTTTTTACGGGACGGTTGGCAACTCTACTAACTAACCTTATAAATAAAATAAAGTTCACTATCAGTAACATCATAGCACCCACCGAGCTGTATAGAAACTCTGTCATGCTAGCTAGTACCCAGTACGAGTTATTGTAACTGACTGTAAAAAGTCAGCACAACGAAAATAAACTCCACCTAAACTTAGTTTATATCTGACCCAGATAGACTGCAGGTCATAACTTCTTACCTGAAGTTCAGTTCACCTGACACTCGGACCGGCAGCTGCCTCGGGTCTCTCCTCCTCCTGCCTCCCCTTCCCTCATCCACCTGCTGGCCTCCACCACTTGTTAATTTTACTGAATCTGTGGAAGCTCCGCCATAGCCACCACCAAACAACTGAGTTATTTTACACACCAGCCAGCACCTGGCCAATCCACCACCTTTCATTATTTATACTGTTACAAAGGAAAAACAAAAGTCACCGGGCCACCGAGCAAATGCCCGGTATGCCCGATGGCCAGTCCAGCTATGGTCGTGCCATCAGTTAACCCTTCGTGTGCCAACTGTGGCACGCGTGCCTAGGGTTGCCGACCCCAGCCCTATAGTATCGTTTAACATCAACAGCAGAAATTTGCTGTACTTTGCAATATAAACTATCATTTCCAATACTGTAAATAAAACATAGCAAATAAAAAAACATTAGTGGTCCGTGACCCCCTTCGATCAAAGCAATATCCATTTGAAAACCTTTGTCGCAGTATGAACAGTGTAACCAATGGGAGATTTTGCCTGCTC